TTTTCTTACTCGTTTGAGACTGTATCCTGCATGAAAGATGATGGGTGGCAGCAAAATGTTGAAGAAAACCTCAGGATCAAAAGTAACCTAGAAGCAGATTTGCAGGGGTGAGAACAAAATTATGTACCCTAAAATACAGTTTTGGCATTCAGTAGTAGGAAAGAACTATATTAAGAATAACACGTAAGACATTTTTTGTTATTTTAGCGCAGGGGTGCCCAAACTCGGTCCTGGAGGGCCGGTGTCCTGCAGAGGTTAGATCCAACCCCAATTAGACACACCTGAACCAGCTAATCAAGCTCTTACTAGACATACTAGAAACTTGAAGGCAGGTGTGTTAAGGCAAGTTGGAGCTAAACTCTGCAGGACACCGGCCCTCCAGGACCGAGTTTGGGCACCCCTGTTTTAGAACACCCGGAGCAGTGGGCAGCCATTTATGCTGCGGCGCCCGGGGAGCAGTTGGGGGTTCGGTGCCTTGCTCAAGGGCACCTCAGTCGTGGTATTGAAGGTGGAGAGAGCGCTGTACATTCCCTCCCCCCACCTACAATTCCTGCCAGTACGAGACTCGAACCCACAACCTTTGGGTTATGAGTCCTACTCTCTAACCATTAAGCCACGACTTCCCGTATTATTAAGAATAACACGTAAGACATTTTTTGTTATTTTAGTGCAGGGGTGCCCAAACTCGGTCCTGGAGGGCCGGTGTCCTGCAGAGTTTAGATCCAACCCCAATTAGACACACCTGAAGCAGCTAATCAAAACCTCCAGGCAGGTGTGTTGAGGCAGCTTGGAGCTAAACTCTGCAGGACGTCGGCCCTCCAGGACCGAGTTTGGGCACCTCTGTTTTAGAGTGTTTAACAGCAGTACCTTCCTGAGCATCTCTGCATTTGGCACATCATGGCCCTTGCTGTCCCGGACCTCTCCTTTCAGGCTGTACTCGTAGAATCGGCCGCTCACGTTCACCAGTACGGTGGTGGGACTGCTGTTCATGGCACAAGTCAGGGTGACGTCATTTAAGTCTTGAGGCAAATGGACCCCAAAGCGCAGAATTATACCCACAAACAAACCTGAGGACAGAAAACATATATTTCAAATATAGTTTTAATACACAGCATGCTACACAAATCACATACAGAGAAATAGCAAAAGCAGTTGTCAAGCTACCAGTACAAATAAATACCATGGTTATCACAGTTTCTCCTAGAATACCTGTTATTGTTACGAAAGTAAAATGGTAGTAATGTGGGGTTAGCCACCACTGCCAATGAAAAATACATAAATAAAAATAAATAACAATATGTCAGAAATTTTATTAAATGTATTAAAATATATAAATTAAGATTTAAATTTAGAATTATTTATTACACAAACTGCATTGAAACGGATTTATATGTATTAAATTTATTAAAATATATAAATTAATTCTTATAATTATTATTTCAACTTAGATTTATAAGAATTTATTACACAATTAAATTAAACTTTGACTTATACTGCATGTATAATGTACTAAAGTATACAAATTAAGACCAATATTTGTATATTTCAAATTTAGATTAAGTATTTATTACGCCCATATATTATATATTTTCCCATATTAGTGGCTACAGTATGTGAAACTAAACTATGGTTATCATGGTAATTTCTTGAGACAAAACACATTATTGAACAGATCAACAAGTATTTTGAGAACATGCAGTGTGCTCATGCACAATATTTCTGGTGCCCACCTACACAAGGTTTCCTGAATGTGATTATATGAAATAATTCTCACCATAAATCATAGCCAAACCCGTCTCATGTAGGAACCTGAAGCGGCGGTGTTTGAAGAGCCATATCGTGAGGATAGTGAGTGTGAGTAACATGATGAATATGAGCAGATTGGCGCTGTCCTGCCTGTGGCTCTCCTCCGCTTTTCTCTCGGTCACCACGTTCACCATCTCCGTGTTCTCAGCCAGACTAATGACAGCAAAACACATCAGGCACAGTAAACGGGGGAGCAGAAAAGCCCTTGAGACGGAGGTGCGTCTCCTTTGGCATCCTGTCATGGCTGTGTTAGCGAGAGCCGGATCCGCCGTTCAGTTCAGCGCTGTGGTGATGTTGATAGATAGGAATCACGGTGATCTATTTACCTTCACATAACGGTGTGAAGACAGCGGCAACAGACTTGACAGAATATCCCGCTTGACCGGAAGTGGGAGATTACAAGATAAAGGCTCTAAATCTGATATGATTTGTCCCTCTTAATATTAATAAATCTCGGCAAAATAGGGCCTAAACTCGTTTAAACTCGCGTTCGTTCATAAATAAAATAAAGCTGAAATAAAATGTTAGATTCTAAAGTTAAAATTAGAAATGTTGTAATTGTCAACTAATTGAAATAAAAGTTGAATTACTAAAATTACTATTAGCAATTAAAAAAAACAAACACTAATAAAGAAAATAATAAAATAAAACATAAAAAATAAAGCTAATTAAAAATATTAATAAATACTACATAAATAATACTAAAACAAATGGACAGTAAAGGTGTTTTAACCCTCAAATATAGTAGGAGCTTAATTTAAAACTATTTTCTTATTATTGCAACCTTATTAGTAAAATTTATTAAAAATGTACAGGTTAAACCCTTAATTTATGTGATTTTGCTTATTTTATTAAATAAACATTGAATAAACTTTCGAATTAAATATTGTTTATGCAATTAAAAGTAAAGCTAAATATTTTATCAGATGTAATATTATCAGATGCAGACAATAATCAATAACATTATGCTTCATGTTGAATTACATTTATTATTGCATACATACAACATCAATTGCTCCATACATAAATGTGCACTTTTGGTATGCACTTTACTTACAGATCGAGTACTCGTTACTGAATTGCAGTTTTGTGGTTTGTGTATACATACATATAAAGTTAATACCACAGACTTCTGTTTACTACTGGGCTAAAAGCTACAAAGGAACGTTGCCTTCACAAAAGGAGTTAATTCCTATAAAACCTTGCTTCTCATCAACAACTGGATAGCAATGTCAGGTTCAACGCTTTCATTACATACACCTGAAGAAATTCTAATGCCTTTGAAATGTCAAGTGGTTACATTGTGTTCATCAGTCATCAAAAGAAATATATGTATGTATGTACATATATATATACACACACACATACACATTGACATATATACACACACATATATATATTATCCACAACCTGATACTTGTCTGTATTCTGGAGATGTTCACAGTTAGTGCTTTGGAATGCGTATCTCATGCATTAATTCACACAATCTTGCTGGCTGGCTTCTTCTGACCCCTTCCTCAACCAAACCCTAAATAGAGACAAACTTTCCAGTGCTTTTAAGCTTCAAAAATAAATCTGCAATGCTCAAAGCCAAAATATGTTGCTCAGCATGTCCATGGCGAACATTGGAACAGCCATGCAGATGTTAAATTTGTACCAAAATGTAAACAAGGAACAAAAGCATAAGTAAATTACTGCTTTCCTGAAATACGTACACTTTAACCAAGAATGAATAATTTCATTGTGCCCTTGAGGGATATTAAAAACCCTGCATAACAGGAGTAAAACGACTGCACACATAAAATCAGTTCCTGAAGGCTGATCATTCACCCATAATACAGTCTGGAATGCTATACAACTGACAAAAACAACTGAGGCTGACCCATGATATGCTTCCCCAGAATCAAATAAACACCTTTGGGGCCTTGGAACTCCAGACTTTTATCAACAAGGCATTGTTACAGATGGCAGCTTTAAATGTTACACCATTCATAATCCATCTTTTTGTGTTCAGTCTGCTTTCCTCTCAAGATTATACCATATCAAATATATTTCTCTAAAACAGTTTGAAGACGTAATGCTATAATGTCTCTGGGGTCAGCCGAATCGTAACATAGATATCTGAATCCCCCAATATGACGACGTAAACACGCAAGCGCACTCGCACAAACAGCTAAAATACACAGAAACAGATGGCGCAATCCAAAATACAGCACAGTATTCCTCCACATAATAAATAGATTTATCAACAACCTGTTCATCGAAATTAAAAAATACAATTTCATTGAGCGAATAAGTACACATTGCACAAAAGAAAGCATGGCCAGCATCCTGAAGGAGGAATCCACCAAATAAAACACACACACACACACACACACACACACATTTGTTAAATACAGCAGTTCTGTCGAGAGCTTTGGGTCAGATGAACTGAAAGCACATGTATATACAGTGCCGATGAAAGAGAGGTGCCACTGTGACCCTTACGTGATCAAATACGCCCTCGTCACTCGAAATGTGCGTGTGAAAAGCCTAGAGGACAGAGCTCTTCAGTGCACTTTAGATATGGCATGTATTTGCTGTAAATATAATCACAATTCAGAACTACTTAACATTTTTCCCCACTAGGAAGACATATAATCACTATGAATATGTATAGAAGATATATTTCGACAAGCTAAGCACATTGGTCGTGCTACAGGATGCACGGGGATTCATCTTTTGCATGAACACCCAGAAAAATATGACCCATGATTTGAGCATGCAGTAAAGCATAGTGACCGTTACTGCTGCATGTGACAAACTCTGAAACTAAACATAGGCAATAGAAACAGGTAAAAGATACATTCATAATGAGTTAAAAAAAAAAAAAAAAAAAAAAAAATCTCTGGCCAACCCCATTTTAAAAAATTGAGGGGGAAAAACA